TAGTTGGATCCAATAGACCTGAAAAAGTGAATGCCAATTAAATGATATAAAAGGTATCTGAACACACAGTGAATCACAATTTGTTGCATATGGCATTACATGGCTACAGACTGGTCAGGGTGCCCATGCTGACCCATGACCACTGCCAAAAGTGCCTACAGTAGGCATCTGAGCATCAAAACTGGAGCAATGGAAGTAGGTGTTCTGGTTTGAAGAATCACATTTTCTTTAACATAATGTGGATGGTCATGTGCGTTACTTACCTGGGAAAGATATGGCACCAAGATGCACTATGGGAAGAAGGCATGTCAGAGGAGGCAGTGTAATGCTTTGGGCAATTTTCAGCTGGGAAACCTTAAGTGCTGCCATTCATGTGGATGTTAGTTTGACATGCACCACCTACCTAAAGATTGTTGCTGACCAAGTACACCCCTTCATGGAAACGGTATTCCCTGATGACAGTGGCGTCTTTCAGCAGGATAATACACCCTGCCACACTGCAAAAATAGTTCAAGAATGGTTTGAGGAACACAACGAGTTTAAGACGTTGACTTGGTCTTCAAAATCTCAATTCAATCTAGCATCTGTGGGATGTGCTGGAAAAATAAGTCCGATCCATAGAGGCCCCACCTCTCAACTTACAGGACTTAAAGGATCTGCTACTGACAGCTTGGTGCCAGATACCCAGGGTATTGAATGATAATTGGGCCCTGGGCAAGATTTTTCTGATGGGCCCCAACAATCCTCCCGCCTTCACCACCTGCCCCCTCCCCTTCCTAAATCACACCCCCGTGTCCATCTACATCACCTTCCCCTGATAAGAAACTAAAACCAATATATATATATATTTATTTATTTTTTCTTCAACACACTAAAATTCAGGACTCAACGTAATGGACTCGACAATACACATTTTTGACCCATAGGTATATATTATATGTAGAATGCATATGTTGAAAATGCAATGCACCGTGCAGCAAGTGTTCGGGGACAAGGAATGTAAATGCAATACAGATTTTACTAATATAACCATGTACTGGTACATTTGTTCTGTACTACTTAATAAATCATACAATAAGACTTTTAATATAAATCTTATTGTATGATTTATCAAGTAGTACAGAACAATTGTACCAGTACATGGTTATATTAGTAAAATCTGTATTGCATTTGCACAACATATCACTTACCCACTTGCTGCCAGGTATGTATGTAAATGCACAGCATTAATTAATTTTAACTGTTTTAATCAAACTATTAGTCCAAGAATAAATGAGCATTAATCAATCATTTACTAAATAAAGTTTTTGCTTCTACCTGATCTGCTGTGTGCTCCCCCTCCTCCTCCGTGGATCTCCCCAATGTCTGTTTCTATGTGACAAACATGGGGGGGGGGGGGGGCACAAAGCACGCGGGGCACACAGC